GTTACCCCTTTCTCCCATCACATGGTCTTTCCCTCACCTATCCCGGCACCCTGTGGTGGTCTCTCCCCTGGGTTACCCCTCCCCTCGCCACTCCCCACTGGTGTCCCACTGGCTGTGGAGCTCTCCCTCTGTCCCCATCCGGGGGGTATAAAAGCTCCCTGCTGCCACAGAATGCCCTCTTTTCTCCCATGGGTTTGTCCCATGATGTGTGTCTTGGAATAAAGGACAACGTTTCCCACGTGGAGGAGATTGCTTCTCAATCTTTTACCTTTGTCTATGAAGTATCATGTGGGCAAGGGTCTATAGCTAGCCAGAGCAGACCCCAACAGCCCAGGAAACACGATTCTTCAGGAATGCTGTTTGACAGCAGCTGAATACAAGCCAGTGTGTGCCCAGGTGGCAAAGAAAGCCAAAGACAGCCTGGCCTGTATAAGGGTTAGTGTGGCCAGCAGGATCAGGACAGTGATTGTCCCCTTGTATCAGCACTGGTGAGGACACACCTTCAATCCTGTGTCCAGTTCTGGGCCCCGCACTACAAGAAGGACATTGAGGTGCTGGACCAAGTCCAGGGAAGGGCAACAGAGCTGGTAAAGGGTCTGGAGCACAAGCTGATGAAAAAAGGTTGAGTTTAGCCTGGAGAAAAGAAGTCTCAGGTGGGACCTTATCACTCTTCACAACTACCTGAAAGGAGGCTGTAGACAGTTTTGGGGGGGTTGGCTGTCTCTTCTCCCAGGTAAAATGCAACACAATGAGAGGAAATGGTGTGAAGGGAGATTTGGTATGGATATCAGGGAATATTTTTTCACTGAAAGGGTTGTCAAGCATGGGAACAGACTCCCCACAGCAGTGGTGGAGACGCCATCCCTGGTGGGACTTAAAAGATATGTAGATATGGCACCTAGGGACATGGTCTAGTGATAGACTCAGCAGGGCTGGACTAGAGGTTGGACTTAATAATCTGAGAGGTTTTTTCCAACCTAAACAATTCTCTGTTTTTATCTAAATTTATATTTCAAATTTTTAAACCACAATTTAATTTCTAGGCTTTGTTACCATGAAAAAACAATTGTGCAATGTTTCAGCATACATTTTAATGTTTTTCAGCTAAAGAGAGAATGCAAGCTAATTATGACTCTGGCTCAAAGATAGCAGAAACATAACTATTTCTTGAATGTTCAATTTCAGTGACCAAATATATTGCAAATACATAAATCTCTCACTTCTGGCATCCCAAAGACAAATGATTTTAACAAAAAAATACACCAAGTATTTGCAGCATAGAGCTGTATGTATCAATCGTTATTATTACATTAATAGGAACGTATACAAAGGTGCACACACACAACACATTCTATATGCATTCCTGAGTTTGACATAACTTCCAAAGCATCTGCTCTTACTCTAAGTATAAACATACCAATAAATGGACCACCTTTGATCTGATTTTACATGCTTTCTATATGGTTCTTAATATGCCAAATTCTTCAAAATAAAATACATGCACATCAAAAACACTACTTTAGGACACAGTATTTATTAACACAGTACTACAGGGCCACCCTAATAATCAGAGCTGAAACACACAACCCTTAAGAAAGATCCAAAAGAACTGGGCTTATTTAGCAGAGAGTAATTCCTGAAAGAATTGGGAGAGCACAACAGCTTTTCAGAATCCAAAAGTGAGTTACCTGGAAGACTCTACTGAAGTATGCAGTGAAAAAAACCAAAGAGACAATGGTTATAAACCAAAAACAATGGCAGTTAAGAATTGAAATAAGGAAAAGATTTTTCACTATGAGGATAATTAACCTTTGAGCAGGTCACCAGAGAGGCTGTGGAATTGTCAGCCTGTAGGTTTTCATGATCCAGCTGTACAAAACCCTAAGCAAATTGCTCTGATCACACTATTTGTTCTGCTTAAACAGGAGACTGATTGCTCAACAGATCTCCTGATGTCCACTCCAGAAGGAAGAATGAGAGTCAGACCAATTTCAACCCATTAGTGGTGTGTTTCAGGACACTTGATCAAAGGCAAGCTGCACTTGTATTTTAATTCAAGAGATCTCCTTTAACTAAGCTATTTCATTTCAACTCCTGCAAGGAATATCCTAACTATATGAATGTTAACATTCCTTATGGTTTTTTTAAGTCACTTTTGCACAATGGCAAATACGACTCTTTCAGATGTTTCAGAAACAGAAGAATGTTATGAAAAGATGCCATCTGAGTAGAGGTTTAGCATCAATGCCTTATACAGGACATCAGATTTATGTTTATCACAACTCTTTAACTATGTGCATTAAAAAGAAAGAGACGAAGCAGCAGTAAGGAAATGCTGAAACGGAACATGAATGATTTTAAACATTAACACATTTCCTATGCTACATCTTTTCCATCTCTAAGTGTCCTCAAAATTCATGGTCTGAAGGAAGATGGTAAGTATACCAGCAGCTATTAATCTACTGGCCTGGAATCATCTTCAATTTGTAGTTGTGAATCTGCAGTTCTAAATTCACATTTAATGTACGTCTGCACTCTGACTCCCAAAGTTCTTCAGTATCTTTTCCAGAATATTGATAATTCTCAGGATTGGAGACACAGGAAATAACTGCACAATGGACCTTAAACTGAGCTTCTAGCACTTAATTCTAGCACATATACTGAATAATAAAATTTTGAATAAGCATCATAGCTGGTAACATACTCAAATTTTAAACACATTTCGAAACCAAAATGGAAAATTTAGATTCACATAAAGAATAATCTAAATTCTTTCCCCACAAAAAATCTAAACAATATTCCTAAATCCATAAAAGAAACATTAACAAAAACTGTGTAATTATTTTACTCTTTTATTCTTTCAAAACAGTCTTAAAACATGAAACAGGAGCCCTGTTTACATATGTGATTGGTACTGGATTCAATTTTACCCTGAAAACTACTGAGATTTCTTTGTGACCTGTATGAGTCAAAGCTGCACTTCAGGGAGAAGTCTGCATCTTACAGTTTCAAGATTTAAAATCCATCCTGTATCCTACACTTTGGAAAGACCCTGGCAAATGAAGTAGAATCGATAGCCAAAACTGAACCCCTTAAAATTAGGTTGCCGAAAAGCATATAAAACAGATCTCCGACTTAATCCCACCTACACTGAGAACAGTTTATTCTGGAACTAGACCCAATGTATCTCCCCAGAACAGATTGGAAGGATTAGACTTATGCAAGCTTTTGGTTTTTTTCCTCCACTGCAGACAACTGTATAAACGTAATACACTTTAAAATATTAATTTCTAAATTACTGAACAGAATAAAAATCCTGGTAAAATTCTTAACAGAACCTCCCAGGTCACCAGGTGTTAAAATCCATTGTCATATTAAAACAATGAAGGAATCTCTCACTGGATCCTTCTAGGTGTATCGATCACAAAAATGTGACTCTCTCTCTACAAAGAGTAAACTTTGAAAATTTGAGCGTATCTTAAGAGTCCGTGGTACCAGCCAGACACTGGCTATCGGACAGCCCAAAAGCGTGCCTCTACCTCCCCTCTTTGGACCCTCTTCAACACTATATAAAACTCCAACCACACCCACCTATGATGTCACTGCCATTACACAACCTGTCCCCCTCCGTGCCTGTCTGCTTATGCAACTCAGCCCGGCCTGCTGGGAATTGTCTTGGTGACACTTAAGACTGAAAATAGGTCTCTCTCTCAGGAAACAAGGTTAAATACACCAGCGGAATTTCTCTTTGCCCGCGCACAGCGATTACCCAACACAAAACGAAGCAGAGCCCACGGACTCCTCTGTAAACAAGTCCAGCAGAAGCGTGCGGGGGGAGACACGACGGAGCCCACGCGGGACGCTCCCCCGCACCTCTGGAGTGAGCGGAGCAGGTGTACCCCACCAGCAGGCTGGGCGCTCAGCCCAGGGCCGGGCAGCCGCACGTCCCCTCCACTCCGCCCTCCCAATGGAGAGGTTCCGCAAATCCCTTCAAACTCGAGAAAACTTCGGACGCTCTTCACCGGCCCGCGTCGATCGCTGACGGCCCCGCACTCGGGGAAAAGAGCACGTCCACCCACTCCACCACACCCCCAGCCCCCCGAGCCTGCCGCCCCGGGCTGCCAGCCCGTCCCGCTCCCGCCGGGACACGGGCGGCAGCGGCGGAGACCGCGCGGCTGTGGCGGGCGGCACGGGCGGAGGAAGGGAGCGCTCCCCTCAGCCTTACCTGCTCGCAGAGCCTGGTTGGCGGCGCCCAGCGCCTCTCGGAAGCGGCCCTGGGCCAGCAGCTCCTCCAGCCGAGTCCCGGCCCTCGCCCTCTCGCACTCGCCCGGGAACCACTTCTCCGCCAGCCGGTTGAGGACAACGCTGGTGCGCAGCGGGGCCGCGGCCGTGCTGGTGCCCCCCGCCGGCAGCAGCCAGTCCCGGCAGCGGCGGCAGCGGGCCCGCAGCTCCCTGCGGAGGCAGCGGCGGCAATAGGTGTGCCCGCACGGGACGGTCACCGGCTCGCCCAGGAACCTCCCGCAGCCGCAGCAGCGCAGCGGCCCCTCGGCCCCGCGCTCCCGGCCCGGGCCCTGCCGCAGGCGGTAGTTCAGCACCAGGCAGTCCACGAGGGTCCCGAGGCGCTGGGCTCCGCCGAAGGGGCCGAGGCACAGCGACGCCAGGGACGCGCCCACCGCTTCCTTCAGGCGGCTCGCGGGCACCAGCCGCGCCAGCAGCAGCTCCCGCTCTTCGTCCGCCCCCTCGCCAGGGCCCCCGCTGCCGCCCGGCTCCGGCGGCAGCTCCGAGCCCACGGTGGCGGCGGGAGAGGACGCTGCCATCGGCTGCGCGGCTGCGGCGAAGGGGGTGTGGCGCTCCCGCTCCGGACGCCGGGACGGGCTCCGGGCTCGGCGCGGGCGGGGGGCGGGAGGAGGCGGGGGGAGGTTACAAAACACCGCTCCACGCGCGCGCCGCCAACGGCGCGGGGTCACGTGGGGGGGACGGGGCGGGCCCGTCCGGGAACGCCCGTGCCCAGGGGCGGCGGCGCCCCGGAACCCCCTGAGCCCGCCCGGCCGCGGGGAGGGGGGAGCGCCCCGGCCGGGCCGGGGGTGGCTGGCAGGGCAAGAGGGACAGCCCTGCGGGGTGACTCCTGGGAGCGGCTGCCGTGGTGAGGGTCGGGCGTTAGCAGGGCTGCGGGGGAGGCAGGGATAGAGGGACAGAGCCGCCGGGGCGGGGAGAGGGTTCTGCAGCGGGGAACGGGGTCTGTGGTCCCGGAGGCATCACCCGGTGGGTGCCCGCCGCCCTCCCTGCGCCTGCTTACTCGCGCTCGTCTTGGGCTGCTTGGGCTGGCCCCTCTTCCTTCTTTGTTAGTGTTTTAATGGAGGACACGATAAGATAAAAGTTACAAGGTTAAGGAAAAGCTCTTTGTCCTCAGGGCTGGTTTCCCCCCCGCTCTCGCCGAGCGCTCCCAGCCTCGCAGGACGGGGGACGCGCCCGCCGTGCCGGCACAGCCCGGCGGCAGCGAGCCGCGCTCCCCGCCCGCGGGCAGCCGAGGCGGGCAGCGCCTGACCCGCACCGCCGAAAGCGCTCACAGGGGGAAACGCTTAGGCTGTCCAGGTGCATGCCAGCCTCCGGTGGAAGCTGGAAGCCTATTGCATAAGTATTTATAATTGTTGCAGTGCCTTTTTTTTTTTAACGTTAGAAGGCTGTCATAAATCCAGACGTTTCAGATAAATATAGCAGTACCTTTAAAACCTTCCAAGCAAAGCTTGCACATCAGGAAAATTAATATGGCCTTAGGAAGGGAGCAAACTATATTTATCTCCAGCTATATTCCACGTATGGCAAGCTGGAAGGTGATGCTAAAAGTTATTAAGAGAGCTGTAGGCTAAGATGGCATGATTGGAAATAAGCAGACACATCTGGATTTACATCCAGGTGTTTTGTCTGACCTCAACTATTCTAAGCTTCATCCTTTGCCTCTACAGTGGCTTTCCAGTTCCTAAAGTCAAAGAAAAAAGATGTTATGGTAATTGAAGCATGAGGGAGCCATGGGTGTATTTTAAACATTGATAAGAAAGATGGTCTCTTACAGTAATTAATTAAAAAATTGAGTAAGGAAATTACAGTCTAAGGATCAAAGTAAGATAGATATCTGTAGTGTGAACTTGAGTTGTGGTGGGAAGTTGTGAATTGCTTTGAATTAGTGTGAGTGGTTTTAATGGGTTACGGATTCTGGTGTGGTCATGTCAAGCATGAGTTGACTTCTCACAAAGTACTTCACTTGGCCAATTTGGACAAAAGTAAAACTCTGAAAGAAGTACTGTTAAACAGTAGTTTATTTTGTATTTCAGATTAGATTACACATGGAAATATGGAAGAAAAATAAAAGAGGACAAACCCCAAGGGCTTGTGGGATTGGAATTAGGATAGTAAGGCTGTCCTCTGATGGAGCGATTTAAAACAGTAGAAAAACATGAAAACATGTTTCCACCATTTCCACTTCCAGTGATTCCTATAAAAGTTCATACATTAGTGATTCAAGCAATCATGACTGCAATCAATGCAATCAGCTATTTTACATAATTTCCCGTGTACAGGCACAAAATACTCATGTCTTTACCAGCATTAGTCTCTTGGAGCAGAAGAATTGAGGTTTTTTCCTATCGAACTTTCTCTTCAAAACTGAAACAGTGAAGCAAGGGATTTGAAGTAGGATGGATGAATAGATGGGTAGGCAGCCTGACATTTTTAATTGCTCTCACCAGTTGTAGAAATGTCTGGTATCTGGGAGACTATTTACAAGAAAGCTATATATTCACCTTGTCCTTATTCTCTAGATTTTATTTTTTATCCCTTTTGGAAATGATGCTGGGCCCAGTTAGACTGTGATATTACCCAGTGTTGACAGTCTTATATCTTTGAACTACAGTTGATTCTTTAAGCTTTGGTTTTGGTGTATTATTCCACCTTTAGCATATTTAACTAAACAAGAAAAAAAAAGGTCAAATTTCAAGTTTTTTACTGTGTTACCATCAGGATGTGATAGTTATGTAAGAGAGGAAAAAATGACATTTTCAAGATTAGATAACACACAGCTCCACCACCACTCCGTTAAAATAGCACACTCAAAAATCCTTCCCCCCCCTCCACTTGTAGGGTCAGATAAATGATATTTTAAAACAACAAAGCCTTGCCATTGTGCAGTTCATGTGGGCCATTCTAAAAAGCCTTCAGGGGCTGTCCTTTCCCTTCCTGCTGTAGAGCAGTATTGTTCTGCTGGTTGTGGAAATTGGTGGTTCTCATTCAGAAGGGTACCTGCAAAGCACTGTGCCTCCAGTACAGTGAGGTTGAAGTAATTCCCTTCTTATGCTTTTTAAGGTATTGGTTGGATGTTTTTCCAAGCAATTCCTTGTATGAGTAGTGTGTGCAACCCAATTAGATATGAGATGACAATAAAACAGTGGTTTAAGTCGTATTTGACCCCACTTTAGGTAAATTAAGCACAATGGTTCTGATTCAAGGTCTTCAGAAATCAACAGCAGTATAAACAAAGTAAAGCAAGACCAACCCAGATTAGGGGACAGGCAGTGGACCTGCTAGATGCTAGTTGCCCAGCTATTGTAACTTTTTGCAAAGATATGTGTAGCAAAGGCAAAATAAAATTAATCGGAGAAAGATTGGATTAGGCAAATAAGAGTCATACTTAAGAAAATCATAATTTCATTCCTGAAAACTCTTTGTTCTCCCAAGAAACACTTAAATATAATTTCTTCTAGGGGAAAAAAACCAACAAAGGAAATATCAAGCCGTATTTGAAATTCTTGAATGGCTTTTGAAAACCTTAGCTGATAATGTTTGAGTTCTTTCAGCCCTGGTTAAGAAATAATGCTCAGAACCAACTATGATTTGTTGTGTTTCAGGTTTTTATTGCTGTTAAGTAGAATTTTGGGGCTCTAGTGAGGTAGTTCTGGCAGAGAGATTTTTAAATGGAAAAATCCTCAGCATTGCTGCGGTAAAACAGACACTAGTCCTTGTTTGTGCAATGCAGTAGTGGAAAAAAGTTGGTTTTGAATATTTTTTTTTAGTTAATGAGTGGCTACAAAGGTGCATTTGCAGCTTGGTTTCAAAAGTTAGTTATGGTGAGCTGAACAGGGCTAGACTGTCAGCAGTAGTGTGGCCAGCAGGACCAGGACAGTGATTGTCCGCCTGTGCTCAGCACTGGTGAGGCCACACCTGGAGTGCTGTGTCCAGTTCTGGGCCCCTCACTGCAAGAAGGACATTGAGGGGCTGGCACAAGTCCAGAGCAGGGCAGCAGAGCTGGTGAAGGGTCTGGAGCATAAGTCCTACAAGGAGCAGCTGAGGGTACTAGAGTTCATCCCAGAGACTAATCTTGTCAAAAAGGTAAGAATTTAAAATGAACAAGATTTATTTTAGATTCTTTCTTTTGGCAAAGGCAAGAATTCTAGCATTTTTATGAAATGTGTTAAATGCAGTGGCTTCTGCTGCACGAAACCAGTTTTTAGCTGTCTAAATAAACTGCTAATTAACGAACAGTCAAGTGCTCATTGGGATTTCCCTTCAGTTCAGCATGAAATCTGAATTTTTCTTCATAGCGTAATAGTATGGCAGTTGCTGGTGGATAAGGGAAAGACTGTGGATGTGGTCTGCCTAGACTTTAGTGAAGCCTTTGACACTGTTTCCCACAGCCTTCTCCTGGAGAGCTGGCTGCTCATGGCTTGGACAGGTGCACTGTTCCTGGCTGAAAAGCTGTCTGCATGGCCAGGCCCAGAGGATGGGGTGAACGGAGTGACATCCACTTGGCAGCCAGTCCCTAGTGGTGTTCCCCAGGGCTTAGTGCTGGGACAGGTTTGGTTTCATATTTTGATCAATGCTCTGGGGTTAGGGGTCGATCTCTTCTCCAAGAAACAAGCAATAGAATGAGAAAATGGCCTCAAGTGGCCCAAAGGGAGGTATAAATTGGACAAAGGGAAAACTTTCCTTAAGGAAAAGGTGGTCAAGCATTGGAACTGAGCAGTGGTGGACTCACCATCTATGGAGGGGTCTAAACCACAGGTAGATGTGCCAGTTAGGGATGTGGTTTAGTGGTAGCCTTGGCAGTGCTGGGTTAACAGTTGGACTTGATCTCAAAAGTCTTTTCCAACCAAAATGATTCTCTGGTTCTATGTCCTCATTTTCAGTTCAGTTACAGTTTTGGAGATGTCTGCCCACTTTGTCAAGAGAGCCCTGAGGAGCTCGCTCCTGCTGGGTGATTTTGGATTTGGGGCAGTGACACCCAGAACCCAGGAGATGCTGGTCCCCATTCCTCTTTCCCAGTTACCAGAATGCTAGTTTGTCTGTGGTGCTAAGAAGTCTCTTCTCATCTCCAAAAACAACTGTTTGAGTGTTAACCAGAGACTACTTGTTTTCAGTAGATCCAGTGACACTTCTAAGATTTGTCTGTATGAGATGTCTCTCACTTTGATGATGATGATGATGATGATGGCAGCAATACTTGTCTTTAAAATGCAAATGACAAAGGTTGACCTCAGGGCTTAAAGGTAGAGGGTATAAAAGGAATGAAAGTTTAGAGCAGATTTTATCTAAAGGGATAAAATTTCAGCTAGGGGAGGCTGAGCTGACTAAGTTTCCAAATGTGACAGAACTGACAGCCATGACCGTCAGATGATCTGGGACAAAAATCTGGGACACTGGCTGTAGATCAGCAAGCACAGTATTGCTTACAAGAAGGAAGAAAAAGGCATTCACCGAGTACAGACAATTAAGGTACCTCAATAGTACATTAGGGATGTAGAACACATTTTCGAGTGAAAAACTAATGAGAGAGGTGAAAGTAACATGAATACCATCATTCATAACCCTTGAAGTTACCGAACATAGATGAAAGTCAACCTAACTCTGCTTTTGTTCTTGTAATGGAGACACAGTGTTCAGGCTCTCATCTCTTTGGACTCGAGTAAAGCAGGTGATATAATGAGCCACATGGAGAATTTTGACTAAAACAGAGTAAGATGGAATTGCTAAAAAAGTTGTCAGGTCTGAAAGATCCTGTTAAAAGCCTGTTTAAATGGATCATGAAATAGGAAGAGCTTCCTGACTGGAAACACACTTCATATGCATTTTCTGAGGATCAGCCTTAGTACTAATTTTACTTGATATTTTCATCAGTGACCCTGGCACAAAAAGACAGGAAATTGATCTTTTGGTTTGGCAGCAAGTAAGAAAGTGATTTCAATAAACTGAGGAGAAAAATGTCAGACAGAAAGAAACTGACCTGCGTGACTGCTGGGGTAGTAGAAATGGAAGAATTGTAGTCATGCAAGTGTCAAACCATGTACATCTATTAAGAAAAAATGTTGCTAGATCCTGAGAGTTTATTAGTGGGAAGTGATAGAAGATGAGAAAGAACAGGAAGTTATTAAAAAAAAAAAGGATATAAGCCTAGACTTTTTTTTTTCCCTGTTAAGATAAGGAATTACTCATTGTGCTATACGTGACTCTGGTGAACAGAGTCACACAACAGACAGGTCTGGTCAGGCTATTTGTAAAAAAAAGAGGAAGTATAACTAACTGAAGGAAGGAAAGGATAATTTGGAACAGATTTACCATACAACAAGAATTGGAGAAATGCTTGCTCCCCCACTGTCTTGCCAAAATGATGCTAGAGAGGGGACATGATTGCCCTATGTAAGTGATTTATGAGAACAGAGAGCAAGTGACACATGAGAAAAATTATGAAGTAAATGGCTAAAAGAAATTTAGTTTAGGAGAATACTTCTGAGAATCTGAAGTGACATTATGGGATGGTTTCTGAGAAAGAGTGGGAGGATTTACTCACTGTCAAACAGTACTTGTTTATGTCAGGACAGGGATTACCTGGCATGCTAAGCTGTTATAGCAAGGGACTGGATTCAGTCTGAAGAACAGAAAACAGTTAATCAGTAGGAAACAAGTTAGTAAACAGAAGAATAATTGACAAACTGCAACCTAAACTTTTCAGCTATGGAGTCCACCCCTTAGGCTCAGTCATTGTTACACAGTGAATGTTTCAGTGTCTCTCATCTCAGAAGAAACGGTTGCAAAGTCACGAGGACCACAGTTGAAATATCCCCCATGTCCTTGGAAAAAATGCAAACTCACTTAGGGAAGAAGACTTTGGAGAAGTGTGAGAAGGAGAGGGAACAACTTCCTTTGAAAGACAGCAGGAATGAAACATCCTAACCCTATGCTCAGGTTAGAATACCCAACACATTGGCAGGACTGACAGAGAAAGTAGCTGCTGTCAGTGCAGCAAAATATCCATACCCACCTTGTGGAGCCATAGAGAGGCACGTTAGCCACTACCTCCATGGCTGCCAAAATTGGGTAGGGAGAGAAAGCAGCAAAATCCAAGTTTAGCCACCTTGAGCTTCCTCTAGTAGCGCTCCAGAGGGGAAGTGCTCGTGGCTGCTGCCCTGCCTCTGCAAACCATACATGGCACTGGGGACTTCCCAGAGACTGTGATTATTTAAACCATTGCCTTTTGATTTTCACTCCTAAATGGCTGTTCTGCCATTCTCACTGGTTTAGCTGAACTGGGCATGTTCCACTTCAGGTGGATCCAGTGAAGGACAGAACAGGCCATGTTTATACCTTTGGTGATTGCTCTAAGTGGGAAAAGACCAGTTGAGCTGAAGTTGAATCCTCTGATGGGAAATAAGCTTATTACTACTGGTAAAATTTTTGTTGAATACCATTTGAATATTTTTTAAAAATCCATACACAATAAACCGGCAAAACCCCATTATAAACAGTCCTGTGAAAATGGCCATGCCAAATACTTCTCTGAGACATTTGACATCTCTCTAATAATATTTTTTGTAATTGTTTCAGAAGAAAAGTGTGCAACATGACAACCTGCTGATGGTTCATATGTTCATACATGGTCGTGCCTTCCATGTGTTAACTGCTGGGGAACAGCTTCAGATTGCTTCACATTATAAATTGTTACTTATTTACCATGCCAGTTGGTGACCAATGTAGCATATGTGAAATTAATTTGCAGTTTCTGTTACTGTTAGTTGAAATTTTCCAGTGAAACATTTTCTCAAATTAAAAGGAAAAAAAAAAGTTACCCTTACCCATCAATCAGGAAGGCAGTGCTTTGTAGAAGATTATTTATTCAGATAATTTGACAAAATATGGGTAAGTTTTTATGAGAAACATTTTCCAAATATGCATGAAGGTAGCACTGGTAGTTTCTGTATGTTTCCAGAATAGCTCTACCGCGGGACTAGTCCCCACATGCCTCTGATCTGGTAAAATCCCTGTTATGGAACAGAGGAAACTGATTTTGGGAAATCCATTTCTTGTCAAAGGTCAGCTCCTGGCTCCATAGCAATAGCCTTCTGCCATGTGTCTGTAGCTGCAGTTAAAAAACTTCCAAATTCCTACTGAATCAGCAACCAGGACCTTGCAGTTCTGGCTTCCAGCCTTCCTCACATAAAAACACGAAATGCAAAATTAGTAATGATATATACATATTAGAGAAAATCAAGTTTTTCTTGAGAATCTGCAGTAATTTCCAACTTCTAAAATCAGATCTGTTTAGAAAAGCTTTTTTACTTTTTCATCCATGAATAAAAATATTTTGCCTCAGCTTTATGGTATTTATTTTTTCCTAAAGTAGTTAAAAGTCATTAAAATTGATGCTTGATGTTTGAGTCACTTCAGCCCTGGCTAAGAAATGATGCTCAAAACCAACTTGGTTTTGTTTTGTTTCAGTTTGTTCTGTGTTGCTTAGTAGACTTTTGGGGCTTTAGTGAGATAGTTCCAGCAGAGAGTTTTTTAAATGGAAAAATGCTCAGCATCACTGCAGTTAAACAAACACTAACTCTTGTTTGTGCAACACAGTGGTAGGCAAAAGTTGGCTCTGAATAATTTTTAGTTATGAGTGACCACAAAGCTGCATTTGCAGCTTGGTCTCAAAAGTTAATTTGAGCTGAACAAAGCAAGACTGCTACCACGGTCTCTAGCATTACTGTACAGCTCTGCAGTGTGAATTTTCCAAGGGATCTTAATTCCCTTTGAGAAAATTTGAGCTATCAGTTCTCAGTACTTTTGAAAGAAACCAGCCCAATAGTGTTATTTAGTTATAGGGTAATTATGTATGCACTACTATGAGAAAAAGTGACCGCACATAAGATGAATAGTTAACTACATGTTAGAAAGATAAAGATGTCATTAAAAATAAAAAGGGAGGCAAAACATAATAGGATCTGAAATACTTAGGTAAAGACAGAGAGAGAGTTTATCGGCTTGATCCAATAAGGGACTTAAATACCTAAGGCAAGGTTTATGGAGAATTCAGGTTCCTAAGTCAAAAAATGAGATTGCAGCTCACGCAGCTGCTGCTAACCCAGGAGTGCCTAAATTCACAAGGCTCTTCCTTGATTGTAATCTGTATCCTTAGAGTGTCTCGGGTTTTACTGTTGTGCACAGTCAGTGTGCAGCCACTAGAGCAGTTTAGGCACTTACTTCACATTCAGCCATTTGCAGTCCTTGGCTGAAAAGTTCAAGGATGATATTGTGTCAGTGTGTGCAGGCCACGCCAGGCACAGATTCACATCCTGAAATTCTTAGTTTGTTGTAGTTCCTTGCTTTGAACATGAAAGGCAGAGAGGTGGAATAACCTTTTATTTAACAATCTCTCTGTTAGATTATTGATACAAGGATAATTCTTGCACATCATTTCTGTTCCTACAGACAACGTAATTCTTTGCTTCATTGTGGCATGACTTTTAACAGGAACAGGGCAGGATTATCTTTGTTTTCAATAGCCCTGTCTCTTGCTGGGTAGGATCACATTTCTGCCCTGTGTTGATTTGCATCTTTTGTGTTTAATGGGGAAACCCAAACAATGCATTGCTGTATAGGAGACGCTTGTTTTCTCATTTCCTTCTGTTATCCTGGCTGTGATTTAACAGAATACTGCAAGCCCTGCTCCTCATTCCCTTTTTTTTTTTTTTTTTTAACAGAATGGTATTTGGATCCTACAGTTAGGAGAACTCTTAAGCTGTGAAATTTAAGCACACTGTGTTATCTGTGTTGTGGCCTGACTTAAGTTTCTAAGGAACTGCAATAATGCTGCTGCATTTCTGGGGTTTGGTAAGTCTGGTAATTATACTTTGAAACAGTGGAATTTACTATCCTGGGAACACTAATAAGTGGAGTCTCTCATTTCCCTGTTTTCATGTTCATTGTAGTTTTTCTTTTTCCATATGTGATAATATGTGGTTGTGGATTCTAAAGTACAGCTGAATACTTCTACATGTGCAAGGCAACAAACTTAAAAATGTGATCAAGAAGGTCTTATTTTAAATTATTCCAGGTTTAAAAAGTAACTTAGCTCCACATATGACATGAATCATATTTGTCTTTCCTTCAGGAAGAGAAACCTTGGACTGATCAGACTCTTTTCTTCAGCCATGTTGCTTGGTAGAAGAGATGCATGTAATCTACAGATTTATAAAATAGGTAAATATTCACTGGAAAATGTGCTCCTATTAATATAAATTGTAATTGTTCAAAGAGCAATGCACTTACAGTGTGAAGTACTAAATTTAAAGAGATAAAGTGCAGAAGCTCTTAGTGCAGAATTGTAACTGAATGATGAACAGAAACCAATATAATAGCAAAGGAAGTACTGAAAAGGCTTCAATTAAAGAAGGCTTTTTTTAAATTAAACTTGCTTATTAATGAAGTGTGCAAAAAGCAAATAAGTCAGCATTTTTAATGTTTATCAGTATGTTTTCCTTGAGCTGAAAGTTGTTGGCTAACAGTCATGTTGAATATCTCACCATTTTTTCTGAGTTTTTATGTATTCACTCTACAGAAAAAGTACAGGCTGATTGTTTTAAAAATAATCTATAGCAAAAGAAAAGCTAATGATTTTGGACATGTGTTCTATATTCTAACTTGGTATTTAAAGAACAATTTATGTTGGTATCTGTTTATATATTCTCTAATATTTTCTAATCTATTCCCTGATAATATATATATATTCTCTAATATAAAGTTGAATGTTTTGCATCTCTGTATGATCAACCTCTGAGATAAATAATATTGAGATACATGTGGTGTTGAATATAGTTTGCCAAATAGGAGCAGTCTCTTTGAATTTTTAATAATTATTGCTCTTTATTCTTATACAAGTAAAAAAGTTACAGTTACAGTCAATTACAGTTATTGCATTATATTTGTATTAAAAGTATGCCTGTATTGTAAAATCAAATCTTCATCCAAAGTAGAAGGAAGGAAAAAAGCTTATTATGCTTGATATCTAGCCTCTTGGAAAAAACCTTTCATTTTTGGGTGGTCAGTAATAAATGCACAATTAAATTCAGAGATTCAGTCAATTAAAATGCATTTTAAGAAAGGCATGTAGAAATCAGAAAATACTTGGCAGCCTACTTACAGTGGTACCTGGAGGGAAAAGCCCTTCATTTGTTATTACTGGATTGGACTGCTGCTAGTATTAGATAAATTGCTGAGTCTAAATAAATCTAGGTAATGATAAAATAGTTAGCAATCTTTTAAAATTCGGAAGGAGTTGTTAAAGTTACAAAATTCATGTTTACTTATTCATCTTAGGTTAGCTCTTCGGGATCAGAGGAGCAACTGCTCCTTATGTTGTAGATACTTCTCATTCATAGAGTTCCATGGAGTTTTGCATGTATATCCACCATTTCCTTGTCTGATTGGTGCCTTCCTTCAGAGGTTTTAGAGCACTGGGCAAATATTTTGTATCAAAGAGAACAGGAAATGCATGATTTTTCTTCAAAACTCTGTGACTAGTACTCTTTACTAAAAATAATGTTCTGTAAAGAACATGAGCTGAACAAAAAGCATTTACTTTAATCACAGTGGCAGAAGACATCTAATTAAATCACCTTATTGGCAATAGTTTAGCTTTTAGTAGCAAATATATGTTACAGTTTATTCTGACTTTTCAGTATTCTTTTTCTACTTTGGCTTGTACCTACTGCTGTAACCCATGTCCTGTTTGCTTCTTGAACATTAGTAGCATCACTCAGCAGCCTGTTGTGTGCTGTAGGCTGGGATATCACAGCCACATCTTTTCAACCTCTCCTACAAAGGTGCTACAGGAAATGTACACCTTTATTTTGATTCTGCCAGAGGCACCAAATAACAGGGTTCAGCTGGGAGACCATTACTCTCCACTAGACCAATGTTTTTCAGTGGAGCATGGGATCATACAGGAGAGAAGTGAGCACTCAGATTCTTCATTTCAGCATGATTATGTAAAGAATGTGATTTTTCAGTCTTTTTCCCACCTATATGTCTCTCAGTCTTTTTCCCACTTATGTAAAGAATGTGATTTGACATATAGATGGGAAAAAGACTGAAACACAATGTGATGATTGTGTTTCAGTCTTTTTCCCATCTATATGTCTCTTTCACCATGTTTATAGAAGAAAATAATTGAGTATCTGGTCTTTGGCTGTTGTCCACAAATACTCTATCTAGAGACAGAAGAAGACTTAATTTAATTTTTTTCCATTCCTGAAAATGCAGTGCAACTTTTTTTAAACTCAAATGTATGTTGAACATAATTTGTCCATGCAGTTGTAACAAGTTTCAGTCATACTGAGTCTAGGCTGACCACAGTTATTCACAGGAGGTTCTGTAGTAAGTAGCCCATCCCAAAAGGATTTTATGTGATGTGTTCTGTCTTTGTCATACTATATATAACCATTGCATTTTAGGCATCTTTTTAATGATTTGCATCCCTCAATTTCTGATTGCCCAGAAAAGGTTTCACAAGGGCTGAAAGACTGTGATAAACCCATGCCTATGAAAGTATTTTTAAAATCACATAATTTATTTTATTTATCTTCATATTTCTACCTCTAGTCAAAAAAAATTACATTCTTTTTTTGGTGAACAGCTTATCCTACTGTTTTTCATGGGTTTGCTGATGTGCTGGACCTGTTTGACTTTTGTGTTTGGCTGTGCTAGTGTTGGTAGATCACCTGAGAGCCCTGCCTTCTCCCAGTTCATGCTTGCCCTTCACTGGAGAGCTGCAAGCCTGACAAGCTGTTGCCATCATTTTTCTTTGTGACATACTGTAGAGCCTTCTTGTTAGAAAGTACTTGGTTTGTGTCCTGGGGCTCTCAACTGTGGAGATTTGATGAATGGCTCACTCTGTCAATTTTCATGGTTCCTGTAATATTTCATCCTCCTGCTGGTACTGATTTAACACCTCGATTCCTGGACATAAAATTAAGCCAAAATTTAACTATGTAGACTAGATGTAAATACTTACTATTAATTGTAGAAATAGAAGCTGCAACGTGTTTTTCTTTATTGTTTTTAAACATTGGAATGGACTGCTGAGGAAGGCAGTGAAATCACCATCTGTGGAAGTGTTCAACAAATGACTGGATGGGACACTTAGTGCCGTGATATAGTTGACAAGGTGGTGATCAGTCAGAGAGATTTGGCTTGATGATCTCAGGGATCTTTTCCAACTTGCATGATTCTGTGATTCATTAAAAAAGTATTCTCAGAGGTTCTTTTTCTTGGTACCTGGATCACCTTAATAAAAATGGTTAGCAGAAAACTGGTGTTTACAGGACTAATTCCTGGGGGGTAACAGTCTCTCAGAATTTTTTAGTTCTGCAGCACCATTAACAAAATTAATAGTTAGGTCAGTAATTGATTTCAGGCTTAAAAGTATGTTATAATGATTGTAGGGCTGAGTCATATCTTAGACATAGTAGCTAGGTGAACTGTTCTGGTAAAGTAAACAGTAATACATCAGAACGAAAGGCTTCTGAATAAGCCACTTGCTGATAAATTGCATCATAGCAGGGCTTGTCTGTCAAGAATGAGAAGCAAAGAAGGCGTCAGCCTATAGCCTTTTTTATCCAGAAGTCTTTCTCATTGTAAAAGATTTACATTTTAAGAAAAATACCAGGTATTTGTAGAGGGAAGTTTGGGTAGAATAAGTAATTGTTGGGAAGGAAGAAGCAAAACTGAAGGTATATTTTTGTAAGACATCCTACATGAATATTTACATAATGGGACTGAGTGTGTTTATACTAATGGGACTGAGATGTCCTTCTTTTCCTTGAAATCACCTCTTTGCCAGTGGTGTAAAGTTGACAAGTCATGGATGTTGCTGCTTTCCTACTTTCTGGCATCACTTAAAGAAAAATATAGGTTGTGTTCAGATTGTACCATAGCTCAGATTTCCCTGTGTCCACAGCCTTTTTGGGAGCACAGTGTTAACTGTAAGCAACCTCTGATCCTTCCTTTCCTGGCCCAGACAGAAGCATGTGAGTGATAATGTTCATCAGTAAATTTGAAACAAGTCTTCAGACTTGGTACTGCTTTATTTTGCAGTGATGACCTCCTTTCTGTAGATCTCCATAGAAAGATGTAATGCCTTTATCAATTCCTACTGCAAATAGCAGTTTTTCCATGGAATGACTATATTAAGAACTCTCACTTTGAAATTAGAATTTTAAGGTGATTTACATAAGAAATAACAATACCTATAATTAAATTGATTGTTGTTTTGAAGTAAGGACTTGTACAAGGTTGTTGTCTTAGAAGTTTGAGTTACTTGATTTTTCTTTTAATTTTAATTTTCAGAATACTGGATTGTACCTTCTCTTCCACTATTGCTTCTACTGCATATCTTATTCCTACAATTCTTGTATTATTAGTCTATTAAAATAAAATATATAAATGAAAAAATATATATGTACCTGTGAACAAAATATTTACATATTACATATCTAAATATATATTTTTAAAACTGCATTTTCATTAGCTTCTGTAAGCATTATCTGGAAAAAAAAGAGAAATTTTAAATGAAGAGAGTAATAAGTGCTTTAAATCTAAAAAAAAAAAAAATACTACTTTTACCCCTGTTTGGACTTCTGTTGTAAAAGTGGTGCAGTGTGCTTTTCTGCATTCCAGAAATTTCCTGTGAGTCAACAGCTTGATTGATTGATTAATAATTTGTATTGTGTAGCAGAAGGGTTGTTCAACTAAAAACTGCGTGCTGCACTTTTAGATCAGGGGAGGCTGTGCAGGTGGAGTCACTGGTACCAAGTGGGAGCTGCTGGTTGGTTTGTCCTGCAGCCAAGGGCACGTGCTGCCCACCGCGGGCTTGAGGGCCAGGCTGGACATGCAGCACGGGGCTGGGGCAGCTGCTCTGCTTCCCTGCCGTGGGGGTCACTGCTCCTGGGTGCACAGTGGTCTTCTGGGCAGGATCACCACTGCATCTGAGAGGTTATAGAAAAGGAAAGAAGGTCATGAGGATCTTCCGAACTTTTGTGAAGTACATAAGCTTCCCTCCAAAGCAACCAGTGTTAATACCATTAGATTAGTAAATGTATATGGTATGTAATGGTTAGTACCATTACTGTGCTCGCCTGTGTTCCTGCTTTAAATGCTCCACAACTCCACTGCTATTTCTCCTGTAGAGGAGATACCATCTT